TTTTCAACAAATGTTACCCAGTAGCTCAACCACTTCAGCAGCATTCAGATTCTTCCGCTAATTAAATAAATTATTGCTCTATAAATTACCAAAAAATAAAGATTTTTTTTCCACTTTTTAAATTTCTTTGCTGTCCTCTCCACCCTTCACACAAAATAAATTAATTGTTATAGTAATCAATTATCATCCCTTCAAATTTTACCTCTTCCTATCATTGATACGCTAAAGAGTTTCAGCTTCCCATCAACCATATAGCCAAAATTAATTTGGATCATCCTCAAAAATTGTTGTTATTTTTGACCGCAGGAAAAAAAAGTCAAAAGAAGAATAAAACTAAAAAACAGTAAAAAATAATTTTGAAATCGTCTTTTTCGTCATCGATAATCGTAAAGTAAACCAAAATAACAAGTTTAAAAAAATTGTACATTACTTTATTATATAACAATAATTTGCAGTTAACACAATAAACTCCTATTGTCAACAGAAAAAAAATTTTTTAAAACATTTTTAAAAAGCAATGAAGCTTTATTTTTTTAAATGCAAACAAAAGAGCTATTCTTAGCAGAAAAAAAAAAATCAACATCTGTATGGCCCAACTATCAACTAATTGAAAGTCCAATTCTTTTTTTGCTTTCTCTTAGAGTGTTTGTAGAATATCAAAGGAAATAACAGCGTATATGAAAAACATTAGCCATCAGATCGTTGCTATTTGTTGTTTTGGTAAAAATACTGAACACAAGGTAACAGTTTAGAAACGACAGGTAAAGAGGTTTATGCTAAGGCCAAGACATCGACAAACAGAAAAAAAAAATTGAGCACCAACTCATCGACGACCTTTTCAATCTGTTCCGTTAGAAAACAGTAATGCAGGGAAAAAAAAAAGAAGCAAACTTCACTAAATCTTCACTTCATATTTTCTGCCAAAAAGCAGAAATAAGTATAAGCATTTCTAGAAATGCTGCTTTCAATCACATCTTTACTGTACACATCAAAATTTTTATAACTTTTGTGAAAAACAAAAAAAGATTCAGTCGAAAAAGATAAAAAAACACTTTTTTTTTTCAAGTAAACTATAACAATATTCTGTTCTTAACAATTAGTTGAAAAAGCTACAATAGATTCTGTAATTGTCGTCCAAACCTCTCATCAACATTCTCCCACCTTTTCTACCTGCCTACCTTAGCATCCCTAAAACTAAAGAAAAAAAAATTAAAAGCCACGAGCTAATGAAAGAATAAAACAAAGTACACCAGCAAAAACCAAGAAAACTTTAAAAAAACCAAGCTCCTTTTACTCAATTACATCAACACTTTCTTCGACAATTTAATTTTAGAAGAAGAAAAAGCTTAATTGTTTTGTAAACAGTACAAATATTACATTCAAAATGCTAAGCACCACTACTTCTATGCAGTGTACTAAAAGTTCATATAACCTGCCAGCTAAGTTTCACTAAACAGTAAAATTCATTTAATACTGTTGACAGTACTGATACAGTTTCAAGAAGATACTTACAAAAAAAAGCAGCATTCAATAGCAGTTTCAGAATGCAGTAACAGCGAAGTTCTTAATTACCGCTAAATTCAGTGTACACTAATAAGATGTTTCTTCACATGTGATCATCCATTAAGCAGCAGCTTAAACATCAGCCAACTAACTGTGTTAATTCAATTCTACAGTTACTGTACGCTTCCAAATTCAAAAAAGCCAAAAACCTTTGAAATATACCAAAAAAAAA